GCTAATGTCCTTTGATATTTAATGTGGGCAGAAAATGTTCACTTTTACCCAAAATACAGGAAACAGATAATCATCTGTGGACTTGAACTCATTGATCCTAAGAGATAACATTCTCCTTGAGTCATCACTAATAGAGGTGTTCAGATGGGAAATATCGTAACAGAAAATTGGGCCAGTGCTAAAGAGGGAGGCCGATTCTCTGGGAATAGTAAAATGTTCAGTTTCCATTTTCCAAATCCAGTTACCCTTGGGCTGTGTCTTTGATGTTAATGTAGCTAAACCCCCGGTGAGATTCTCAGAATTTTATCAGAGGAAACAGACACAGAATGCTGGGCTCTCTCATTGCCAGCCTCCCTAATCGGGAAGAAACTCACAACGGGCCACTGAGTGAAACCCAAATATAGAGCTGTCAATATTGTTCTTTGCCAGGATGGGGTCTTCTGTATCTCCACATCAGCAATACCTCCCAAGGCACATCTCTATCCAAACTACTACACTTTTATTGGGCTACACTAATATTCTAATATTTAAAAGGCTCTCATTTGTGATCAGAGGAAGAGAAGTGATAAGGTTGATGGAAAATGAGTATGGACATCATCGCTCTTGCTTTTCCTGGCTCCTTTCTCTTAGGTAGAAGGCAGTAGATCATTGAGGACAGTAGATGCACAATGTGCACCTGTCCCTGAGATGCATTGCCTCCACACATTCCCCAGTGCCTATCACCCATCGGCCAGAGTATGAGAGTGAAGGTGGACCACACGCCATCCTGTGGTCAGGTGAAGAGCCCAGGGAAATGGCAAAGCAGAGCACACAGTAGCATCAGACATCACGTGCCTCTCCTTCCCCTGGCGGAATTACGGGATGGCTAATTCTCAGCCTGTTTTTTCAGCTCTGGCTGCAATATATATATATTGCATATATACAAAAAATACCACAGGCTGGGTGGCTTCAACAAGAGGCATTTATTTTTCACAATTCTGGAGGCTGGTAGTCCAAGAACAGGCTGCCTCAACAGTTGGGTTGTGTAAGAGCCCTCTTCTGAGATTCACTGTCCTCATACAGTGGAGAAGGCAGGCCCTGGTGTCTCTCATTTTAAGGACGCTAATCCCATCATGGAGTGTCCCACCCTCATGACCTCCTCAAACCCTAATTCTTCCAAAGGCTCCACCTCCGAATACCATCACATTGGGAGTTGGGACCTCAACATATGAATTTTAAGAGGACATGGACATTCAGTCCATAACAAGACCATTGGAGGATCCTTTCCAAAGATCATTTAAAATAAATGAACCCATTTATCCTCTTAATTTGGTGATCTAATGACCTCATCTGATAAGAGAGGCACAGCTTGATTCCTGAGTCTAGAGTCAGGCCAACTTAAACCTCCCCTGGAAAGAAATCAGTGCATGACCTCATGTGTAATAAGCTGATGAACACAACTGTTGGAACGGCTAATGAATCCATACAGCTCACAATGAAACCCAGACAGACATGACTGGTGCTTCTCACCCCTGCAAGAACATAGCCCAGTCATTGATTTGCTCAACCAAAGTAAAGGGCAAAAATTAGTAAGACATGCCCATAGAAGCCATTCCTTTCTTTTTATAGGAATTCACCAATATTTACATTTTTTCCCAGGCGACAGATACCCACTCACCTTAGCCTAGGTTTCCAAAGAACCCTGGCCTAGAAGGTCTGCAGAAGCTGGATGCTCACCAACCAGAAGCAGGCCTTGCCTCTTTGGCCTTCCCCCAGGGAGCTCTGGACCCAACAGGCTGAGGGGGTGGACAAGAGCGGAGCCCCAGGGAACAGGCCTCTCCCTGTGCAGGTGACCTCCTGCCATGAGCCCCATGTATGCAGGGACAGTGGCCAAGGCCCTGTGTGGCCTGTGGGAGCTCCGGCTTTCTTGGATCAGCCCCGATCCCAGTCTTCTCTTCCCACCCTATCCACTGCGGTGGAGACTCACACAGCCTCGTTTTCATGGAGGATTTGGTTCACTGCCCTCCTCCATCGAAGGAAGTGATGTGTGCAGAGCAGGCACGTTTCCTGGGAGCATTCCCAGCCAGATTCACTGACGGCTGGGCTGTCTTGGAATCCCAGAAAGACTGACATGGGGTGACGGCCCCTGCTAACCACCAAGCTAAATCAGTTTAGCAAGGAGGCACCGGGGCTATCCGTTTATTTACAAGTCACAGACAAATTAACCTTTTGCAGACAATCTGCTATGCATACGATCCAGATGTCCCCCTGCTGCCTACAGGATGGAGGCCCCCGGCTCATTCTCTGAACCTCCTGACCTCCTACGTGTAGTCCCCTGTGCCTCACCTCACTCAGGGCCCTGGCTGCCAGCGAGAAATGTAGTCCTTCTCCACCAAAACCATAAGGAACTGGCTTATTAATTAAGATCCCCAATGTTTTTAACCATTTTGTCACCTCCAGTGGCTTCATGACCTCCTTCTCTGGGCATTTTTGGCAGCCCCAATGGGTGGAGCTCGGGTGCTGGAAACAGGGTCCAACAGCAAGCCACTGCAAGTTGCATTATAAGGATAATTTCCAGACTTCCTGTTTACAGATCATAACACTGCAACGGGGTGCTGTTCTCATGTTAAACTCCCTGAGAATGCAAACAGCTCTGACTCACTGTCTTTCTGGGTGTGTCTCAGGCTCTCTGTCTCTCTCTCTCCATCTCTCTCTGTCTGTATACACATACACACACACGCACACACACACCATGTGAGCCATGTGGAGCATCTTGAGAATGCCTTGTGTTTGGTTAGATGGCTTACTTACAAACAAACAAAAACTTGCTACTGAAGTATCCCTTAATGAGATCAAAGCCTACATTGGTTTTCTCAATACTTTTGTGCAAAAAAGAAAAGCCAAGTACTTATCCCTGGCACACATTGTTTTTAAATTTTTGCCAAAGGGTAAAGCTCCCATGCATGATTGAGGAGATGTGGGCGTCATCAGAACCCATCAGCAAGACCCCAGCTCTGTGTTTGCATATCAGCACCCTTTCTACTCACCAGATATAAAATTCCATTTATTTTATTTTATTTTATTAGGTTCATGTTTGAAAAAAAAAACTCTATTCACATCGATTGCAACAAGATGAAACCTTCATGGGGATACCACTAACTAAAGATGCCTAGGAAACATAAGAATGCACACAGTATATTTTTTAAATATAACTTATCTTGTGAACATATAAAACATATCTATGCATATAGAGATCTATATCGGTAGGTATATAAAACCTTTGGTAGATATTTCTATTTCTCACCCAGATCTCCAGTGGTTCTCTCCTTCCGGGCACACCTAACTGAAGTAAGATACACCATGTGACCTGCTTTGGCCAATTAAATATTAACAGAAATGAATATGTCTCCTCAAGTAAAAGTACACGGAGACAGTTTGTAATCCTCCACTGTTCTCTCTCTCTTCACAGCAAACCCTGGAGGCTGTCTGATGGCTGTTCTATGATGGCTGAGCCTCCATCAGCCCAGTCCCCTGAGTGTGGGAGATTGCAAATCCTGTCCCACATCCTCCCCCTCGGCGCACCCACAAGCCCTCACTACGTGCGTGTGAATACCCTTCCACTCTGGCCCTGGGCTCAGCCAGAGAGACTTGTCATCAGATCTCTCCATCTGCCATTAAGAAACTAAAATGACCTCAAAACAGAAGCCCTTAAAACCATTAATTAAAGACAACAAGTAGGGGTATCCAGCTGGCTCAGTCAGGAGAGCATGTGATGCTTTGTCATGAGTTCAAACCCCACACTGGGTTTAGAGATTACTAAAAATAAATAAATATTTTAAAAACCACAACAAATACAAGTGTACAGGTGAGTCTATTATGATTATTTGCAATCATATTTCAGGAATTAAGCTTAGTATTTTCTCAATACTTTTAAGTTAAATTATGATGATTAATCAACATAACAGCAAGGCATTTATTGTTCAGTGAAGTTCGAGGGACTCTGACTGGACAGTGTTAAGAAAACCTGATAATGTCTGTTACATGCTAGTTTATTGGATGTACTTTAAAGACCAAAGATTTAATTTTTTCTAATGGTTTAATGACTGTTTTAATGGTTAACTACACTGGCAACCTATACTGTCTAGAAAACCAATAAGCTGAAAAACAGAAATGCTATGTCACCATGAGAGTTTAGTTCCAATTTCTTAGGTCTATAAATGGGCAAAATTTGGGGGGTATTCAAGAGTTGTATGAAAGCATGTGTGTGTGCACACTTGTGCACACATCCACACAGACATGTAAAGAAAAGCAGGCATTTATAACCTGTTATAGCACATTGGATGCTCGTCACCCCTGTTCTCTGAAAGCAGCCCAGGGTCACTCACTATCCAAAGATGAGCAAAGCAGGAGCACTGGACCCTTTCCAGGTAAACAGCAAGGGGGCAAGAAATCTACTTAAACACCACAAGAAAAGAACCATAAGATCTTAGAAGCAAAATTTCAGTTGTGTCATTTCCAGGTTCTGAAAATAAACCTTTATTATATATATATATCTCAGTAATGAATACATATTCTGAATAGAATCTTCAAGAAAGAGGTCAGAGACATCACATAGTTCTTAAGACATTTGAAAGGGTCACAGTGAAAACCAGAGCTTCTGTTTCCCAGATTATAGTTTCAGGCTATCAGTTCTAAGTGTTATCACTGAGGACTCTCACAGGTGCAAAAACCCTACTGCCCTATTTTCAGGAGCAGAAACAAGCCAAAATTGCCTCTGAGAAGTAACATGATAGCTATATGTACAGTAACTTACTTCTGTCCATCAGCCAATTCACTGAAGAATATCTGAATGGAGCCACGAAAGCAATATAAAGCACTGAAGTCACACAATCCTCAAAGAGCATCAACAATACATATGCTAATTCTTATTAGGATGAACACAGATCCAGCGACCCAATTCAATACCTGGAACAGCCTGAAGGTGAGCCCCACGTCCTGCGCCCCGGACGTGCCCCGCCTACCTGAGATGAGTGACACGGTATCTTTCTCCCAGGAGACGACGGTGACGTACGCCTCCACCGAGGAGGGGATAATGCACTTGAAGACCGCAACATTGCCTCTCATGGTTTTCTGGTCCTCCACACGGACTGTATAGGGCTCCCGTAAAACTGGAAGGCAAGGAGAGGACCCTTGGTAAGATACCTCAGCAGGAGCTCATTCTGGGAGAACGTCATTCAAATATATGCACTGTAGCTTACATAGAGTAACTGTACCAAATACAGTCATTGGGGGAAAAAAAAGTGAAGAAACCTGCAGTTCATGTCTTAAAAACTTTCATCCCCTTCACAAATAAACCACAGTTTTTTTTAATTATGTTATGTTAATCACCATACATTAGTTTTTGATATAGTGTTCCATGGTTCATTGTTCCCGTACAACACCCACTGCTCCATTCAGAACGTGCCCTCTTTAATACCCATCACCAGACTAACCCATCTTCCCACCCCCCTCCCCTCTAGAACCCTCAGTTTGTTTTTCAGAGTCCATCCTCTCTCATGCTTCATCTCCCCCTCTGATTTCCCCCCCTTCATTCTTCCCCTCCCACTATCTTCTTCTTCTCCTCCTCCTCCTCCTCCTCCTTCTCCTTCTTTCTCTTCCTCTTCTTCTTCTTCCTCTTCTTCTTCTTCTTCCTCTTGTTCTTCTTCCTCTTCTTCTTCTTCCTCTTCTTCCTCTTCCTCTTCCTCTTCTTCCTCTTCTTCTTCTTCTTCTTCTTTCTTCACATATAATGTATTATTTGTTTCAGAGGTACAGGTCTGTGATTCATCAGTCTTACACAATTCACAGCACTCAACATAGCACATAGCCTCCCCAATGTCTATCACCCGGCCACCCCCTCCCTCCCACACCCCACCACTCCAGCAACACTCAGTTTCCTGAGATTAAGAATTCCTCATATCAGTGAGGTCATATGATACATGTCTTTCTCTGATTGACTTTTTTCGCTCAGCATAACAGTCTCCAGTTCCATCCACGTCGTTGCAAATGGCAAGATTTTATTCCTTCTGATGGTTGCATAATATTACATTGTATATATAAACCACATCTTCTTTATCCATTCATCTGTCAATGGACATCTTGGCTCTTTCCACAGTTCAGCTATTGTGGACATTGCTGCTATAAACATGGGGGTGCACATACCCCTTCGGATCCCTACATTTGTATCTTTGAGGTAAATACCCAGTAGTGTAATTGCTGGATCGTAGGGTAGCTCTATTTTCAACTTTTTGAAGAACCTCCATACTGTTTTCCAGAGGGGTTGCACCAGCTTGCATTCCCACCAACAGTGTAGGAGGGTTCCCCTTTCTCCGCATCTCCGCCAACATCTGTCGTTTCCTGACTTGTTAATTTTAGCCATTCTGACTGGTGTGAGGGGATATCTCATTGTGGTTTTGATTTGGATTTCCCTGATGCTGAGCAATATGGAGCACTTTTTCATGTGTCTGTTGGCCATTTGGATGTCTTCTTTGGAAAAATGTCTGTTCATGACTTCTGCCCATTTCTTGATTGGATCGTTTGTTTTTTGGGTGTTTAGTTTAAGAAGTTTTTTATAGATTTTGGATACTAGCCCTTTATCTGATATGTCATTTGCAAATATCTTCTCCCATCCTGTTGGTTGTCTTTTGGTTTTGTGGACTGTTT